GTTATCTGCTAAGCTGCTGCTTGTTGTGAAGGAAGTTGTCAGCTGCCACCACATAGCGCTGGTATACCACGTTAGCGCCCACAGGCCAAAACAAAAAAATAAATAAATAATCACCTGATCGACAGCTCTTATCTTGAAAACCTCTTAAGTTGTGTTACTCGCATCTCAAGGCACCGCTTTAGTTTTTCATACCATATGCTACTACTGGTGTAGTGGATCAGTGTGTGGATAAATGATTGCTTTCGCACCAAATAAACGCGCACCATACATTTGACAGTGTGAAATCAACATGGCCCACTCCCAAAAAAACAATATATCAATAAATTCAGTCGCTTGCCCAGCCTAGTGTAGGATTGCTGTCGGATTGTGCTGCAGTAGGACGAGGCCACTTGACTGTTTATACGACCACGTCACTATGCAGCGCTGGAAATGAAACAGAGATGCCGTTCATATGACCTCATTTACACTATTCTGGCAAGCTATTCGTCGCCTCTTCTACCCTTCTGTCAACACTAGCATAACATTCACTAAGATGAGTTGTCCCTTCGTCTTCTTTTCTTCAACAAGCACTCCCAAGGATTGCATTCACTGGCAATGCAGTATTTTTTGTGACCCGAGCCTTTGGTATATAAGAAATCCTGCTCTCTGCAGATGACCAACTGTGCCTGTGCAACATTAAACAAAACACGACATAACATGAATCTCTAAGTCGGGTTGTATCATAGGCTGCTACCGGAGTACCCAGACAAAACCCATGCAAACTATAAATTCATAGAACAAAATACAAAGTGCAAAGCAAAGTTATTTGCGATGAACAACACAAGCAATGAAGTGAAGTGCGTGTTCGCTCTTTGTGAAGTTGTTTTACAAGAACGCCAGGCCTGCTACACGCTGTGCGACAAGTTCTAATCCACCTTGGACTGAAATGTAGCAAAAAATGACAATTAGAAAAGGACGTGAATGAGAACAAAGAGAATAACTGTTGGCTTCAAATTCATCATTTGAATGTACCCGACGTGATACGTAATGCTTGCTGCATTTTGGCCACATTTTTGGTTATTTCAACCATATGAAATTTTAAATATGGTCACCGGTAACTATTGTTGTAAAACACAATTTATATCCAGTACTATATATTGTAGCGATGATAAAGCCACGCACCATCCAGCATGATTCTATTCGTGGGGCACAGAAGACGCACTTCTCGGTGTAGCCGCCGGGCAGAGGCGGGCGACGCGGCTGTAATCCCCAACAGCGTCCTCCTTTTTATATTTATTGCCTCCCACCGCTTGCCACCAGCACCAATACGTCTATCCACCATGCTCAATCAAGCATAACTGTAATGACGCTTCAGCATCACTACACTATACTTCATAAACTGTATTTCATTGGCTTGGTGGTGGGCAAGTCCTGCTCGCTTCCAAACCTGGAAATATATTTTTGTGCTTGTGTGTAGAAAGCCCGTGTGAGTGGATGACGTCGTAACACCGGTGTGCGTGGACTGCTGCGTTAAGTGCGGCATGAAAAATCAACAACTTTTCTGCTCATATTTCATATGAGTCGGTGCTCGGTGTTACCGACCCAAATCACCCCATAACCCAAAAAGGTAGCAACCCACTTTTGGACCATGATCCACCAGTTTAGAATCACCATACTGTAGTGCTGTATGGTTTGCTCACAGTGAGTGCATTATTACAATTTAATAATAGCACTAAAACTAGCATTACAGTAAACTTGAAAATGTGCGCTGTGCACATCAATGTTTTTTTAATATAATTTACTGGCTAAAAGCTTGCGATTTTTCTAAATATTGGAGAAAGACCAAAGGTATTGCAGTAACTACTGCTCGGTTATCAATACAGAGGAGCACATTTGAAAATAACTGGCAGAAGAGATAATTTATATCCCTCTGCTGTTGCTGATGGACAGTTCCGCTCGTTCCGGCAGTCCTACTGGATGTGAGAGGGTGAAATGTGTCCAAGTGATAGAAAGAATTTGGCCTGCGTTGTGACAAGTGACAAGATAGCTATCCAAATGTAACAGAAGGAAGCCTGACCAAACAATGGAAGTCAACAAAAAAAGCCTTTAAACGTTGGTGATGACTCTGCGGGAATTTTGATGTTCCGTGTTGTCTCAATTTTCCATGATTCATTTCGGTAAAGCACTCTGCAGGTATTTTGACTCCCCAGGGGTCATATTAGAATAACTTGAGGCTGCACTCAAACTGAGCAATTCATACCGGTCATGGGAAAAACTGACAGCAAGTCCCCCCATCATGAGTAGAATCATTGCAATGAGACCTCTCCTCCGAGTGGTGAGCAAACAGCTCCAGCAGTCTTAGGTCTGAAGGGTGCCTTCTCCAGACAGCCTGTTCCAGCCCCACGGATGTACAATAGCATTTACACGAGGGCTCATAGAAGAATGTTTTCCTTTTAGCCATTTTCTAGCCTTTCAGTTGCGGGTTTTGGCTCATTATCCTGTTGGAAGACCCGTGATCTGTGACTGAGACCCAGCTTTCTGACCCCAGGCAGCACATTTCTTTCCACAATGTCGTGGGAATTCATTGCATCCTGCACAGCGTCAAGATACCGCGTGCCGGATGTAACAAAGCAACCCCAGAACATATCCGAGCATTCTCCATGTTTCACGCTAGAGAAAGTGTTCTTTTCTTATTATTATTATTTTGCGACTCAATCACTGTTAGATATAAAAATGTCACATGAGATTTATTTTGATTTTGTTGAGGAGAATATCGACAACACTTGACTGTCACTGCTTAACCGCCATGGGGCGCTTCTTAAACACCTTAACGGGGCAGCATTTTTGTAACAGCCCCGTTGTTGAACGATAAATATCAACGCTGTCTACGACTGCACGGGTCAGGGAACTGCGACGTGATGAGCGCCGACAACGAGGACCCCTGAAGAGTTGCGGAGAGGAATGAGAGCCAGTGTTTGAAGGCAAGGTGACGTGAGAGAGATGACGACAAGGGATTGGAGAATTGAACTCTTGTTTCTGTATCTGTGTCACTCGCCAGTGAAGGAACGTTTGGCTATTGCATGCTGTGATAATGGCATCTATGACCCAACCCTGTGACCTCATCTGGTTAAAGGAGACTTCAAATCTCCTATTTCGTCTATAACAGCTTCAAACGACCAAAGCAGCTACAGGGAATCAAACTGTACTGACGATGTGCAAGGTGGTATGGGACACTTTTATTGTCAATACGCAATATTTGAAACAGAGGATTTAATTGCACAGCACGTTGTGTGTATGAAAAGTGCAATATAAATTTGATTGATTTGATTGATCTAAATTTAGTTTTCAAGGGCTGGCAGTCACAAAAATATGGAATAAAACAATAACAACAACACAGGGGTTTGCCAACGTGAACTGTGAAGGGAGCAATGGTGTATTTTGAACGGAAAAGAACATTTTGTTTTTTTTGTGATTGAGTTAGCGTTATTCTTTTGTTTTTCGTACAGCGCTTTGGTACAGCCATGGCTGTGGTAAAAATGCCGTGCAAAAAAAAGAGTTTGGATCAATGATTCAATTCCTGTTCCGAACGATTTTCAATTCCGGTCCTTCTGTGTTTTTTAATTTCATGAACTTCTTACTGTTTGTGAACTTTACTACGCGTTACTCAAAGGGCTATTTTTAACCGGCATAATAATATCAAACCTATGAACTTGAATTTTTTTGCTTCGGGGGCGACGTTCGTTGAAGACGGTACATGTGAAGATGTTTTATCAAATTTGAAGTGCAACCTCTTTTCATATTATTTAATTAAATGTGTTGCACTAAGCACTGCTCCCCCCCCACCCTTTTTTTTTTTAATATATATACTTTTTACGAAGTTCGGCAAAATGGCACTAAGCACTGCTCCCCCCCCACCCTTTTTTTTTAAATATGTATACTTTTTACGAAGTTCGATGAGACTGTGCAAAATCGATAGTTTTGCACAGTCTCAGTGGACTGAGATGGATAAAAACGGATGAATTTGGCTGCTTCACTCCTATTCCGCAAACACAATATTAATCAGAATGCCGTGTTTAGACTAATGGAGCCGCAGAGAACATATTACTATCAAGAAGATTTTTGGGTTGACATCCCCTTTAAAGATGGCCTCATAGGCGTTACCTTTAACATGCTTGCCTATAATTTTCTTTGTAATCTCCTGAGACAAGGCTCATCTTTTTCTGTGGTCCGTGTTCAGTGTGGTCGACACCGTGTCACCAAACCACATAGTGACCACTTTTCACCCTTTGAAGACGAGTTTGAAAACACCTCAAATAGTAATCAGATGACACACCTGTGTTTATATGGTCAAATTATTTTCTTTTTTGAGTTGTACCGTCACGTTTGGCAAGGCCCGTATCATTACTTTTTCTTTTAAAATGATTCTATTGAACCACAAAAGCAGGGTCTGATTTTCATTGGTTTTCAGTAGTTTATTGGTACAGTACTTTTGTCAGTTCCAAGTTATTTCAGTGAGCATTGTGCGATTTTTCATCACTAACAGAGATGTACAAACAATTCTGTGTACTTTTTTTTTGTCACTCTCACGCTTATTCTATCAATTCAGACCGTTGTGGAAAGCATTTAATTTTTACCAACCTCAAGACTTTGTTGGCAAGGTCTTGATTTAAAAACCAAACGTTTGTAAAAGATTCAAGCTATTATTGAACTTTTCTTCAGTTCCTCAAGATGTCTTTCAAGACACAGCAGACAGGATATGCCGCTTCCAGCTGAATCATAGCTGGGGGTGTGTAGACCGCTGGAATGCCCTTTTATGGCATAGAAGAGCTTTTTAAAACAGGAAATGACATCATGAGTAAGTGAGGAGGAGTACAGTATTTCTTGAAGTCACTGACCGACCAGCAGAGAGAGGCCCTTAAACTGTTCACTTGTTTCATCGCAAATCAAGCACTGTAGAAAGAGCGTCAGTTGAAATAAATGATTGCAAACTGTCTATTTTTTTTTTTTTTTTTTACATTTAGGGAGAAGAAGAAAGCCAGAATTCATCAACTGACAGTGCTGCCAGTACAGTTTACAGGTACTGGCCTCATTCACTCTCTTCACTCATAACCTTATAATCAACAAAATTAGAGAAACTGAAATTTGCAAAATTAAACTGAATCAGAGGGGTGAAATACACTCACTAGATGTAAGAAAAGATCGCCGTTTCCTTCGTTGAGAAGAGAAAAATAGAAAATGAAGTGGGAAGTGATTCAGAGAAAGCAGGATGTGAGGCTGAGGGTGTCAGGGCGTCTGTGTTGTGACATTCAATCCATGTGACCTCTGATCGCAACCCCCTACCACAGTGTTCTCTCACATTGCTGTCACTATGCTGATGCTAACATGCAACTTCCGGATTATTTTTCAAAGAAACCTGCTTATTCGGTGTCTCTTAATCATTTCCTTTCAAATAGCCCTTCAGCACAATGCCCTTGAACATCAGTCATGCCAGAATTGCTGATAAACAAAGTCAATCATACTTGGTTTTCTCAATCTTAAATGTAAATAAAACATGAAAGCTAAATTGTAAGTTATCTTTATTGCAGTGCAAACAATTCCCAATTTGGTGAATGTGAATACAATATATGTTTGTAACACTTGTCACGGTTAAATGGTTAAGTATATGCTTCTGTGGACGAAACTCTCAACTACAGGACCTCGTGTTCCGGTCCCTAAGTCATCTGACAAAAGTTCCTCTTTTTAAACCCAGCTTGATGCGCTTGTAAAGTGAGTTTTAATCCGAACATGTTTTTCTGAGAATGAAAGCAACAATTGACGTTAAGATATTGTTTTTGTTTGGAATAATAAAAAAAATAAAAGTTTGTAATTGCTTTCAATTTGCAACAGTTCCCTCCTGTGAGCCTATTGTCCACTGAACTGAACTCTATTGCTTGCGAGAATTGGAGTTTCCGTTGAGCTCATCTGTAGCTTTAGGATACATGAGCAGTGTTGGGACACTCATCTGACTGTCCACGAATGAATATATTAACTCTTTCATTCTACAAGACGTACTTGTACGTCTTTTTAAAATTAGGCCCCGCCTACCAAGGACGTACTTGTACGTCTAAAGCCCCGTTCACACGGCAACGTTTGGTCCGACGCAGCTCCGAAATAAATCCAGTCGAGCATTCACACGTGCACATTTGCTCCGGCGTAGCTCCACTAAAGAGCTTATACCGGACCAAATTTGATCCACCTCAGGGAGGTGGTTTAAAAATTTGCTCCAGAGCAAATGCTCGTTTGCGACGCTACGCCGAAACAAATGTGCACGTGTGAACGCAGCTGGATTAAATTTGCTCCAGAGCAAATGCTCGCTTGCGGGGGAGTGGCCTCGCTACGCTCGCTACCAGACGCACGGAATCCGACCCCGGTCGACAGTGACGAGGGGGCCAGCGACACAGACGAAGCCCGGCCGTGGACCCCCGTCCCCGGTAAAAGTGTCGGCGATTTAAGCGGTGAAGACAGCGCTCACGATCAAGATGAGAATCGAGAAAGCAGTGACGTCAGCCGAGCCCGATTTGCAGGCCCGAGCCCGAAGCAAACCCGACATTTCATATTTTATTTGTGAGTATTTTTGGGAGAAAAAAAACACAATTTCTTACGGTTAAAATAATCTACATATTTTTATGAACATGATCAATGCATTTGCACAACGAAATAACGCTGAAATACAGAATAAGAGGCCAGACAAAGAGAAATCTCGATGCGCATTTGCTTAATTACGCAGAGAAATCCTGCGGCTTACTAGGCTTTAAATAGAATAATT